GTGTGTCTGTGTGTCTGTGTGTCTGTGTGTCTGTGTGTCTGTGTGTCTGTGTGTCTGTGTGTCTGTGTGTCTGTGTGTCAGTGTGTCTGTGTGTCTGTGTGTCTGTGTGTCTGTGTGTCAGTGTGTCTGTGTGTCTGTGTGTCTGTGTGTCTGTGTGTCTGTGTGTCTGTGTGTCCGTGTGTCTGCTGTGTCTGCTGTGTGTCTGTGTGTCTGTGTGTCTGTCTGTGTGTCTGTGTGTGTGTGTCTGTGTGTCTGTGTGTCTGTGTGTCTGTGTGTCTGTGTGTCTGTGTGTCTGTGTGTCTGTGTGTCTGTGTGTCTGTGTGTCTGTGTGTCTGTGTGTCTGTGTGTCTGTGTGTCTGTGTGTCTGTGTGTCTGTGTGTCTGTGTGTCTGTGTGTCTGTGTGTCTGTGTGTGTGTCTGTGTGTCTGTGTGTCTGTGTGTCTGTGTGTCTGTGTGTCTGTGTGTCTGTGTGTCTGTGTGTCTGTGTGTCTGTGTGTCTGTGTGTCTGTGTGTCTGTGTGTCTGTGTGTCTGTGTGTCTGTGTGTCTGTGTGTCTGTGTGTCTGTGTGTCTGTGTGTCTGTGTGTCTGTGTGTCTGTGTGTCTGTGTGTGTGTGTCTGTGTGTCTGTGTGTCTGTGTGTCTGTGTGTCTGTGTGTCTGTGTGTCTGTGTGTCTGTGTGTCTGTGTGTCTGTGTGTCTGTGTGTCTGTGTGTCTGTGTGTCTGTGTGTCTGTGTGTCTGTGTGTCCGTGTGTCTGTGTGTCTGCGTGTCTGTGTGACTGTGTGTTTGTGTGTCTGTGTGTCTGTGTGTCTGTGTGTCTGTGTGTCTGTGTGTCTGTGTGTCTGTGTGTCTGTGTGTCTGTGTGTCAGTGTGTCTGTGTGTCTGTGTTTCTGTGTGTCTGTGTGTCTGGGTGTCTGTGTGTCTGTGTCTGTGTGTCTGTGTGTCTGTGTGTCTGTGTGTCTGGATGTCTGTGTGTGTGTGTGTCAGTGTGTCAGTGTGTCTGTGTGTCTGTGTGTCTGTGTGTCTGTGTGTCTGTGTGTCTGTGTGTCTATGTGTCAGTGTGTCTGTGTTTCTGTGTGTCTGTGTGTCTGGGTGTCTGTGTGTCTGTGTCTGTGTGTCTGTGTGTCTGTGTGTCTGGGTGTCTGGGTGTCTGTGTGTGTGTGTGCGTGTGTTTTTTTGTCATGGCTTCTGATTGGGACCTAGTCCAGCGAGTGCATGGCATGTCTCGCAGGATGAGCAGGATGAGCATGCAGATTTGCAGATCCAGCCTGACCATGAGGCCATTAAGGTGGGCCGTGCCTGTTTTGATTGATTTTCCGCGCTGCTGGGGGTGAAGGGTGAAGCGCGCTGTAGGCTTTAACCATCCCTGGTGTTGTTTGCCTCCATTTTACGGGGGAGGAAGGGCCATGTTGATCCACTTTTGGGCCATGTTGATCCAGTTTTCTTGGCGGCGATGTTTTTTGATTGAACATGGAAGGACCCCGTAATTGATGCTTACCATCCCTTGTTTGTTTTGGACGTTTTCCATGGTCTTTTTTGAAGCATACACTCTTTCCAACAATCATGGAAGCGGACAGGAAGCCTTGTGGAGATGTTTGTTGTACAAGATGTCCAAGCCTTCTTCTCCACTTGCATGATTCGCTGGAAAGAGGATATCGCACACATTGACTCTGTTGTGAGTATGGAAGCGCGTTCACAGGATTGCCTCGATCTGATGACTTTGTGAGCACAGATTCGCCTCACTTGGTCAGCTGGATTTGGCTGGGTCAAAACCAAAGGTACCATTCTGGGGTAGGTGAATTCACCACCCATTTTAGAGCCTATTTTAGTGTTTGGATTGGCATGTTCACTGGGGGTACGATTTGGCTTTTGACCCATGTCCATTTGGATATGGGTCAAAATAAGGACCGCGTGTTTTAGTCTTTGGTTCCATTTACCAGGGTTCCATTTTGAGTACCTACTCTTGACCAACAGCGATTTGAGTCTTTCGTCCCCTGGTCAGCTGCTCTGTCCGAGAAACCCCCGGTCCCACCCCTCCCCCCCCCCCTCCCGGTATGAGCGACACGCGATGGCATGGCCTCGCGGCAGCGGGGCACAGGCGCCCCCAGTAGTAGTGCCCTTTTACCGTTTCTTTTTTGGGGGAGGGTTCCCTTCTAAAATAGACTACAGAAAAAAGGGTACCCTTATTTCAACCTCTCTACTGGAGGACCTAGGATTGGTCAGGGAAACCGAATGGGGAAACCATGTAACTTCCCTTCACAGGGGAGTTGCCTGGCTATGTGTCACAGGGGTGACCCAAAGGCTTGCCCTTGAAACCAGGCCTGAAATGAGTACCATCAAGCACACACACACATAGGAACAATTTTGAGGAGCCTGAAAACGTACCAGCCCCAAGCTGGTTGGTTTCCTTTGGGTTTCCCTTTGATTCGACCCACATAGGAGGCCAAGGCAAGCGCCCTTTAGCAGGTCAAATGCTTGTTTTCTCAAAGTTCCGGACCCTTTCGGGTTTCCTTTTCCACTTCAAACCGTGCCAAAAGGGGGGATTCCTAGCGGGCCTTCGACTGCCAGGCCAAATATGTGGGTAGAAAGAAGCTGCCAAAGAAGTCGCTGCCGGCAGAGGCCAGCATCGCTACGCCATCATGACGCGTTGAACAGGCGGATCGTCCTGGAAATGGCTGTGGGTCAATATGGGGTAACTCCAAAATGTGTTGCCCTGGCAAATGTAAACCTGGTTTCTAGACCTGCGGTTTTTTGGTGGCTCAATCCTGATCCAATAGGTGCGGATGTCCTCCCTCATTCTTTACACCCAGGTTTGATGACTGAACTCGCCCGGTTTGCTCCATGAAGCCTGAGAGAAGAAAAGCCCGAAAGCACCCGTAGAGGATATGGTTATCGGCACCTTAAGACTTTCTTTGCGAGTGTTCGTTGTGCGAATTGAACAGTGAAACGCTTGCGCATCGCGTCTGGACCCCGCAGTCACATTAGATCACGGATTGTTACGCTTCACAACCATGACTCCAACCCTCAATTAAATAGTGCAATGCCTTGGTGGGAAATCTAGACCGGCTCTTTCCATCGTGATGTAGGGTCAAGCATCCGAAGGAGCTGGAGGAAGAGAAGGAAAACAAGCCGCAGAAGCAAGTGGGCAAGAAGAAGAAGGCTTGGGCATGCATGTGAGCGTCTCCAAAGTATTTTATGGTTTAGGCCAGGCAAAATATAGAAAGAATCCCAACACGTATCGTGTTTGCCGTGCTTCAAATTGCCTGGGTTCAAAGAAACAAAGCCAAGGCGTGGGCGCAGATGGACGAAGAGGAGGACAAGAAACTGGCCGGAAACTTAGCCAGGAAACAGGTCGTGAATAACTTAATAACTTGCAACTTCACCGGTCGGAATGTGTCATGAGCCGCCGATGCCCTTTGGGATTGCTGTACTTGCTTCCTCAGTAAGTGGACTTGAACATTCTCGGGATAGTGACTTTTGAGAGGGAAAAGGTGTGGACTTGTTGTAACCAATCCACTCTAAAACCGAAACACAACCAAAGGGCCCGACTCATTTCGACTTTTGTTTTGTAATTACACTAGGTTCTTCCATAGCCTCATGCCGCCAAGTACGGAACATATTGGCAAGGCGTACCACCCGTACTCTTTGTTTCCGGGTTTTCGGTTTGGTGGGATAAGTTGGCCCTTTGCAAGCCAGCGCAGGTGAGGGGACCGTTTTTGCGGTAAGAAGCGCTTTGGAGGCCATTATGTTTCTTTAGATGGTTTTGAAAGACTCCCTACTTGATAATGTTCACCCAGGATTGATAAATTCCCCCGCTTCAAGGTCGACAAGGCTTGGACAAGCCCCCAAAACTGAGATTTTCGAGGGACGGGGGGCTGTCTGTTCATGGGGGCTGGCCTTCAATGGGGGTCCCCTTTGTGAGAGCTTGAACACCTTGTCACATTTTCGGGGAAGCACATCTTTTGGGAAAACTTGGTTTATTCGTGGCTTAGTATTGGTGTCGGTGGGTTCTGGCGCGGACGAAGCAAATACTAAGCAAAGAGGAGAGCCCCCTTTCTGGCAGACTTTTGGCTTGGGGGCTGCAGGGGGGGTTGCTACCTTTAATCGGGGGCGTTTGGGCAGGCCGAAAGAATAATATGGTAAAAAAGGCACTCGGGTAAACCTTGTTGGCCCCTGGGAGGCCAAAGGGAAACCTTTATGCGTGTGGTTTACTAGTCGTGCACTGACATTCGCAGGCTACGAGGGAAAGCGCCCAATGCCAATTGTTGTCTGTGAGCCAAATGAAAGGTGGAGATCGATGCTGATGACTGAGATGGCCGGGTTCGCTTCGCTTAGCTTCCAAGTGCCATATTTGATGAGCTTGACGCCTCCTTGGCTCTTTCTCGCCGTCACTTGACCGTTTTGAAAGGTAAAGCATAGCGCTCACAAGCTTCACTGGAAATGGCGTCAAGACAAAGTTGTATCACTCCTCCGCATTTCAGCATGCGACGTGGCCTGGAGTCTCAATATCTAAGACCATACATAAGTGTTTTTATAGACCAGGGCGTATCGCTGGGAGAATGGCCGGCGCAATGTTGCCCTGGGAATAATGTTTGGCTTGTGCAAGTTGATGTTGTAGTTGCCAAGTTGCCACGCTCGCTGAAGAGGTAAGACCCTCAGTGGCAGGGCAACAAGCAGTGGGCAGCTAGTACAGGATTGCTGCATCGTAGTTAGATGCGCAGGCAGAAATGGGAAGCCGCAGTTGACCAGTGCGTGCAACACTTGAGCCCTGCGGTGGCAGCGGTAACTCACTCCCAGAAACATGCTCTTTTGCTGTTCTGTTGCAATTTGCATCGCTCTTCTCAAGGCTCGGGAGCTGGAGGTAAGGATGGCGGTTATTGCAATGACAAAACTGTGTGGCTCCCAGCCATCCGATTCCTTAGCTTTTTAGCCTTTTGGTGTTTAGTAGTAGTTTCCATTTATTCGCTTTTAGCGGGGGATCTGAGCCCAGAAAATTCAGAGGTG